CTTCTCTGGCTTTTGTTTTTCGGATTCGCTTTTAGAAATCGAACTTGATTCTTATTAGATTCTTAATAGATCTATTAACTCGTATAGAGTGAAATCTGAACATTAGTGATTCACTTTTAGAAACTGGACTGCTTATAGTGATTTTGAAGGTTGAATTGTTGAGACTAATGATTTCGGGTATGTGATGATGCAGGTTGGGTTACCGAATGTTGGAAAATCTACTCTTTTCAACACTCTTACAAAGCTTTCGATTCCAGCTGAGAATTTCCCCTTTTGTACCATTGAGCCTAATGAGGCTCGTGTGAATATCCCCGATGAGAGGTTCGATTGGCTTTGCCAATTGTACAAGCCAAAGAGTGAGGTAAGTTTGTGATTTTTGTTTTTCATGACTTGCTGCTATGGGAAAGTAGTAGAACATGACATTGCTTAAGCTGACTTGTGTTTATTGTTATGCCTCAGATTCCAGCTTTCTTGGAAATTCATGACATTGCTGGGCTTGTTAGAGGCGCTCATGAAGGACAGGGACTTGGAAACAACTTCTTGTCTCATATTCGTGCAGTTGATGGGATTTTCCATGTTTTACGTATGATTTTTCCCTCTCCTAGTGCCAGCTTAGTTTTAGTGTTTTTTTGGTGATTCGATGCATAATTGAGCAGGCTGTGTTGAATCCCTAATTGAGCAATAGGAAAAGCACTAGGCTTTTCAACCAGAGACTGGTTAAAACTACAATAATTAACCTATGTTTTTCTGTTGAATGCATCTTCTGCGTATCTGTTCCTGAACAACCGAAATGTTTTATTAAAAAGTTTGTTATAATCAGATATCTTGGCAAATTCTATTCTGGTTAGTAACTTTTCGATTGAACATGTGCAGGTGCTTTTGAAGATCCTGATATTATCCATGTCGATGACATCGTGGATCCTGTTAGAGATTTGGAGACCATAACTGAAGAATTGCGTCTCAAGGTAAAACAAATCTGTAGCAGATATTAACTTCTAGATCTCTGAACTTCTTTCTGTGTATCTTAATGCATTTTTCTGTTGTTTGTTTTAGTTAGATGTTGTTATTCATTTCATCCATTGTTGTTTGGGTTTCTATACTGAACTATTTGGTGCAACTTTAGGATATTGAGTTCATTAAAAAGAAGGTTGAAGATGTCGAGAAGAGCATGAAGAGGAGCAACGACAAGGCGCTAAAAGTAGAACTTGAGCTCTTGCTTAAGGTATGCTTATGAACTGTTAACCATGCAGTCTTGTGTTGTATGTTATTGGTCATTGGCTGAAAAAATGACTGTACCTCTTGAGAACAGGTAAAAGCTTGGCTGGAAGAAGGAAAGGATGTCCGTTTTGGGGACTGGAAAGCAGCTGATATCGAGATCTTGAACACTTTCCAATTGCTTTCTGCAAAGCCCGTTGTTTACTTGGTGAGTAATCTTGAACGTTCATCACCTTTTGTGATAATTTTTTCTATCAGTACAGATTTTTTTGCTTCTTTGATATCTATGGTCATTTTGTTTCAACAAATTTTCTTGCCGTAGCCTTCAAAATGTAGAGGCATTGTCTGTTGTCTATTTTCTGTGTTAACTATGATGTATTTCTTAGCTTTTTTCTGATCTCTCTGCTTTACAAGTTTTTTTCAACTAAATATTTCATCTCAGCGTAAGAATTATAAAGGCATGTTGTTTGAACTTTTTGTGATCACTGATTGCTCTCAAATTTAACTTACAGATTAACATGAATGAGAGAGACTACCAGAGGAAGAAAAACAAGTTCTTGCCAAAGATTCATGCTTGGTACTTTCATATATCCCTTCACAAACTATGTTGGATAATTAGTAACATTTTTCCCCTCTGTTGCTGCAAAAGTTTCTTCTACAGCGATGTGCTGACGCATTTACTTCCCTTACTATACTTTTCCTTAACGAAAATATTTGTTTTGTTGTTTTGTAGGGTTCAAGAACATGGTGGTGATACTATGATTCCTTTCAGTGGCGTTTTTGAAAGGAGTCTCGCTGATATGCTCCCAGACGAAGCAGCAAAGTATTGCGAGGAGAACAAACTGCAAAGGTTAGTAATGAAAGAACAGCAAAGCCTTCCTTCAAATGAATAGTTGCTCCTGGAGATGATTTCTTGAACGTGTTAAGTGAATCTAATGACCATTGCTGCTTTGACAGTGCTCTTCCGAGGATCATCAAAACTGGATTTTCAGCCATTAACCTCATATATTTCTTTACAGCAGGGCCTGATGAGGTATTACTATCCCACTTTACTAATAATGTACTTGGCTTGACAACACGCTTTAGTCTATTTCTCTGAGATGTTCTTCTAAGCATTATTTTCTGTAATGAGCTATTTAATTGTGTAAAGTCAGTGTAAAGTGTCAAGTAGGGCATTTGATGGTTTAAAAAAATACATCCATCAATAATATTTTGTTTTGCAGGTGAAGTGCTGGCAAATAAGACGGCAGTCAAAGGCTCCTCAAGCTGCTGGGGCCATTCATACTGATTTTGAGAGAGGATTTATTTGTGCCGAGGTTACCTTCTCATTTTTCTTGATACTTGGTCAATTCACTAGTTTTTTCGTACCCTAAAATTTATGTGAGCCAAGCCTTTCCCCCGACAAACTATGCTCTCATATCATGTTGGTGTTGATTTCCTATTAATGATTTGGATCCTCGCAAGCCTGTAGATATCAAAGCAGAATCCTAATGCAAACCATATGCATAGATTTATCATTTTAACAAACAAAACGATGGTTTACTTGAGTTGAATGCTTTGTCTATTTTGAAATTCGATGTGGTTAATCCAATGTTGTTGATATTACAGGTCATGAAATTTGAGGATCTGAAGGAGCTTGGCAATGAAACTGCAGTCAAGGTAACTGATCTAGAACTCCTTTTTCCTCCTTCCATCTCTTAAGGTTAAACAAACATGAAGATGTTAAGGAAGCTCTTCATTATGAAATATATATACGCATTGAAGATGGCATGATTAAATCAATTGCATGCTCTGATGAAAATCTCTATGGTTCACGGAGTTAATTTACAATCCTATACAACTAATGCAGGCCGCAGGAAAATACAGACAGGAAGGGAAAACGTATGTTGTTCAGGACGGAGATATCATTTTCTTCAAGTTCAACGTTTCCGGTGGTGGCAAGAAATGAGATCCGTCTTGTCTACCTATGCGCGGTATCCTCTCTTGAGATCTTGAAGCTTTATCCAGCTATCCAAGAGGGGAAACCATACTGTATTTTCTCTTTCTGAACTTTGCAGTTTTTGAGTGGCTTTACCAAACACAAAAAGTACTATCTGTAACTCTTGTTTCCTTCTTGCAGTTTACGTAAGACATGTCTTTGCCTTGAGACGGACCATTTAGCCTACTGTATCTTTTAGGACCCTTTCAATAAGTTTTTTCTACTGTTTTGGAACCAGACCTATGCGTATCACTCGCTCTAGTGCACAAATTAGCAAAGGAAAGAATGCGAAACAAATTCCTTAAAAAGCAAATTATATATGCAGTGTCATTGATATTACAAGCTCTATTACTAAGAGCTTCTTCTGGGTAGAATCAAAATCAATAAAAACAAAAGAACAAAAGAATTATTTTGGAGCTGGTCAAATCCATTGCTTCCTCTTACACCATGTTGTGAAGAGTTGATGATCCTGTTTGGCTCTTCTCCATTTCTGAGGAATCTTGATTGGAACAAGCTTGAAGAGTAGAGCTCTCCGGTGCTTCTTCTAATGCTTGGCTGCTCGAAAACGAGTTTTCTCCGTTCTGTTTGCGGAGCCAAGCTTCGTGTAGCTGCAAAACATACTCCAGGTGCCATAAAACTTCTCCCATCATTGGCCTATTCTTCCCTTCATCCGCTAAGCATTTCTCTGCTATCTCCCCATACTTCTCCATCGATTCAGGACTGTAGTTTTCCTTCAGGTTTGGGTCGATGATTGACTCGAGAGATCGCTGTTTTTGCCAGCTTAAAGCCCATTCCGCAAGGTTGATCTGGTCTTTAGGCAAAGTTGGGTTTATAACAGCTCGAGCACAAACAGCTTCAAACAACACAACGCCGAAAGAGTAAACATCTGACTTCTCTGTTAACTGTTGCCTCCTGAAATACTCCGGATCAAGATACCCGAAACTTCCTTTCACCGCTGTACTGACATGAGTATGGTCCATGGACGGTCCAGCTTTCGACAGCCCAAAATCAGACATCTTCGCCACAAAGTTCTCATCTAGTAATATGTTTGTTGTCTTGACATCCCTGTGAATGATTCCTCTCTCAGAGCCTGTGTGAAGGTAATGCAATCCCCGCGCAGAGCCTATGCAAGCTTCGAGACGTTGCTTCCATGATAACGGAGGAAGGTTGCTTCCAAATAGATGGCTCCTCAGAGTTCCATTTGCCATGTACTCATAAACCAAGATCATCTCGTTGTGCTCATCGCAGAACCCGATCAAAGACACAAGATGCCTATGCCTAAGCCTCGAGAGCATCACAATCTCGGTTTCAAATTCAGCAAGTCCTTGCTGAGAATGTGGAGTGGCTCGTTTTATTGCTATGAGTGTTCCATCTTCAAGCTCTCCTCTGTAGACTTTACCGAATCCTCCAATTCCAATGGCTAAACCATCATCAAAGTTCTTGGTGGCTGCACGAATCTCAGCTAGTGTAAACTTCCTACCAGTAGATGCTGCAAGAGTGTTCAGTCTCAGCGAGCCTCCTGTTGCTTTGGCGTTTGCAGTACTATTATTGACATGCAAGAACAACGGACGCCACCCGGGCGGATTGCTTTTGGATTCATTTGATTTATTTCGCCTTTTCTTGCAGAAACATACAACGAAAGTTACCAAGAACGCGAAAAAAATGATCGTTGCTATACCGGCACCAACAGTTATCCAAATAATCCGCATCTTCGAGTCATCTACCGAGTGACCAGTCGAATCAAACCTGAATAGATGAGCAAGATTCCCATTTTTGCTGAGTTTAAAAATCTCCAGACCACTCAGAAGAGCATCGGTTCCAGAAGCACCAACGGATGTGTCAGGTCCGAGTTGAATCCAAAGAATGTTGTTCTTCGAAGAGACCGGATCAAAGTAATCTTGATACATAGCTTTGTTCTTCCCACCTGCGTGCGCATATATATCAAAATTACCAGCAGCCGTCTGATTGTTTATGTATATCTTAAATATCCTCTGGTTCTCCTTATCGACAACGAGCTCGCAGAAATGTAGCCTAACCAGGTAATCGAAATTCGGATCCACTTCAAATTTCCAAGAAATATTGAACCGTTTCTCCAAGACTTCAGTGTTTGACATCTTCCTAGCAGTTTCGTAAACAAGAAGAGGAGCCACAGGAGGATCATTAGTCAAAGCATACGTAATATTCGAGGAGTTCTTGACTTCGTCACCCGCGTTCTCAATCACCATGTAGCTTGAATCTGTTTCCCACGTTCTATACAACGCAAGATCTCGGCTTGCACCTAGCTTAGGACCACCAACGTTCAGTCTATACATAGTTTCGATCCCGCGTCCACTCAAACCGAGCTCCACTTCATTTCCACCCACTTTAGTAACTGATTCCTTGAAAAGCTTATCAACACCAGAAACAATCTCAATAGCATTCACAAACCCGAAAGATCCTTTCTCCGGTATGAAGCTCAAAACCAGTTTTCCCGGTCCTATAGGTAACAGAAACTCTTTAACCAATGAAGAGGCAGTAGCATTGTGGCCAGAGCTTAGCAAGATGAGATTTTTATGCGCGATTTCTCCCGGGATGTTGATGTCAAGCATCAGTCTAAGACCATCCGCATACACACTGAAAGAAGACTCATTCACATTGGGGTTTTCGATAGCGAAAGGACTGAAATGTAGCCTAACAAAGTAACTTCCTTGAGCAATGCCTTCAAATGTATAGTTTAACATTGACTCGAAAACACGAGCAGTCTTATAAATCTCGGAAAAGACCGAATTCCCCATCGATGTCGATGATGCAGCGACATCAAATCCTGGTGAACTTAGTGTCAAACTCTTGTTGGGAGACAAATCACCTACCCAAATTCTACCATCTGCTTTGGTTGAAGTATTTGAGCCACAATCAACAAGAATACTCTTGGATTGAGCTTCTCCATAGCCAACAACACAAGTGAAGAAAATCAACACACATAGAAGAAGTTCCAGAAACTTCTTCCTCAGCTTCAACATAGTTACTCAAAGAACCCTAGAGGAAATCGATCAATGCTACTGAATCTTACAAAGAGACAATGTTCAACTGCATATAAGCAAAATACTAGCTTAATTCCAGAAATTTCCCAAATGTGTCTCAAAGAAAGAAATTTTCTTATCTCTCTCTCTCTCTCAAGCAGAAAGTTTACAGCTTTTAAGCAAAATCAATCTTAAAATGCTGAAAAATTCTTACCAAGAAGACAAAGCAGAGTTAACCAAAAAAGACCAAAGATCCCAACTTTTGTGTTTCTTTTTTCAGTAAAGAATCTTAGATCTGAAAACACAACCCCAAAAGAGTCCACAAGAAGTACAAAGAACAAAAGTAGAAGAATGCTTTTAAGTGAAAGAAACCAAAATGGAGAAGGAATGAAACAGAGGAAATGAGAAAGCAAGAAGAAGAAAGATCTGAGTTTGAACAAAAGAGGAAAATAATTTTTGTGGGAAGGAAGAGAGAAACAGAAAAAGCTGATAGGGTTATCTAAGAGAAGAAATTATGAACATGGGTTGTTTGTTGGAACAGATTGGAAAAAGGAGAAAGAATGAATAATAAACATTTCCTTGAATATTTGTTTTTTTTTTCTTTCATTTGTAGATTACGGAAAAAGTAGTAATAAACATTTATTTTTTGTTTGTTTGATTACAAAAATTAAATATTTGTTTGCTGCTTGTTTTGTTCTCTTCATTCTTCATCAAGAGAAGTCAAATACCAAGCGCATCACCCATCCCTCCTTTTTCTTGTCACTTTGAAATTGAAAACACACTGATATAACTAAATTTTAATATTTTTTACGTTTTCAAATAGTTGATGTTCTGAAATTTTTT